AGCGAACATCTTCGATGTTGTTCTAGTCGAGATACCTTCGATATCTCCTAGAGAAGTGTGGCGCTAGCATACGCTGTCGTACCTCGTGCCTCGGCACGAATGCGAAAGCTCATGCGGACGTTGTCTCGTATGAGAAACTTCGATCCCAGCGTGCCAGGGAGATTGATGAGCTGTACACGCGACCCTTCGAGGACATCGTCGTGGAAGAATTCATCGATCGTCTCCCTGGACCGACAATCGAGGAGGTCGACGAGCCCATGAACCAGGCCGGCAGCTCCACTGATGCGCCAGCGGACTCTCCCTCTGGAGAGGTATCTGACGTCAAGGTCGAAAAAACTGAAGGCTCTTCCTTTGACGAGGTATCAGAACCCAAGGACGTGCACATGGAGGATGCTGGCGAATCTGACCAACACGACGAGAAGGAGGACATGGGAAGCTTTCCCCCTGGAGAGGAACCCGTGCCTGACATCAATTCCTCTTCTGATGCCGACAATGATGATGACCAGCTTCATGATCAGGGCATTTGGGGGAAGCAGAAGAACGTCGGTGAGCCAGGGGCCTATGAAGCGGCGGCCAAAGCCACAGCCGATGCGGAAGCCGAGAAGGAACAGGCTTTCGAAGATTTTGCTGGTGAGAAGGAGAAGGAAGGGTTGGTCGATACGGTCGACTACCAGAACTTCCATGAAGCCTATCACCTTACGGAACGTATGAGCCCGCTCATGCGCCTTTCCGAACAGCAAAACGGCTATGGCCAGACAGGTCTCTACCATGACAGCCGCCTCGACAATATCAACTCCTTTAAGGTCCAGCACATGTATTTCCGCGTTAAGGCCCCCCCTCACTTCCACATGAAGTACAACTTCTCAGAGGAGGACCTTATGGAACAGGTGTGCCGGATGGAGCCGATATACAATCGTCGAACAACTCGGTTGGATGTCGTCTTCCGGGCAGGCGGCTATCGAAGCACCCTTGACGACCGCGAGATGGCAAAGGCTTCAAGGGCTCGAGAGGAGGCTTTGGAACTTAACCATATGCTCCTCGAGAGACTTCGAGAGCTCAACCGTGATCGCCGTTCTGCAGGCCGGGAAGAGTTGATCAACGCTATGCTTCATTACTTCCTGGCAGCTGGCGTGGACGATGATGAACTCGGGGACCTCTCCCTTGAGAGGATGCCGAGGCCCATCGGACCTGCCGAAGAAGGACCAGTTCCTATTTACAACAGCAGAACAAAGTACACGGCCTTGGTTTCAATTTGGGAAGCTTTGCTCGTAATCGGAAGCTCACAGCACCTTATCTCTACTCCGACATCATCGATTATGACGATTCGGGTGAAAGTGCTGGCATTCTGATAAAGAGCACCGCGCATGCAAAGCACATGTGTTCTTGCTGTGCGAGGCCGGCGAGCTCAATGACCGTGAGCTCGACTTCTGGCATCGTCGAGGATGGGAGACAATGCGTATCCCGAACGGGGAACTCTTGGTCGGGT